AAGCACCTGAAAGTCATATATGCATCAAACGGTGGGTGGGGGTGGATTGTAAATGACTACAGTATATACAGCGAACCACCTGAAAGTCATATATGCATCAAACGGTGCGTGGGGTTGGATTGTAAATGACTACAGTATATACCGCGAATCACCTGAAAGTCATATATGCATCAAACGGTGGGTGGGGTTGGATTGTAAATGACTACAGTATATACAGCGAATCATCTGAAAGTCATATATGCATGAAACGGTGGGTGGGGTTGGATTGTAAATGACTACAGTATATACCGCGAATCACCTGAAAGTCATATATGCATCAAACGGTGGGTGGGGTTGGATTGTAAATGACTACAGTATATACAGCGAATCACCTGAAAGTCATATATGCATCAGACGGTGGGTGGGGTTGGATTGTAAATGACTACAGTATATACAGCGAACCACCTGAAAGTCATATATGCATCAGACGGTGGGTGGGTTGGATTGTAAATGACTACAGTATATACAGCGAATCACCTGAAAGTCATATATGCATCAGACGGTGGGTGGGGTTGGATTGTAAATGACTACAGTATATACAGCGAATCACCTGAAAGTCATATATGCATCAAACGGTGGGTGGGGTTGGATTGTAAATGACTACAGTATATACAGCGAATCACCTGAAAGTCATATATGCATCAAACGGTGGGTGGGGTTGGATTGTAAATGACTACAGTATATACAGCGAACCACCTGAAAGTCATATATGCATCAAACGGTGGGTGGGGTTGGATTGTAAATGACTACAGTATATACCGCGAATCACCTGAAAGTCATATATGCATCAGACGGTGGGTGGGTTGGATTGTAAATGATTACAGTATATACAGCGAAGCACCTGAAAGTCATATATGCATCAAACGGTGGGTGGGGTTGGATTGTAAATGATTACAGTATATACAGCGAATCACCTGAAAGTCATATATGCATCAGACGGTGGGTGGGTTGGATTGTAAATGATTAGAGTATATACAGCGAATCACCTGAAAGTCATATATGCATCAAACGGTGGGTGGGGTTGGATTGTAAATGACTACAGTATATACAGCGAATCTCCTGAAAGTCATATATGTATCAGACGGTGGGTGGGTTAGATTGTAAATGACTACAGTATATACAGCGAACCACCTGAAAGTCATATATGCATCAGACGGTGGGTGGGGGTGGATTGTAAATGACTACAGTATATACAGCGAACCACCTGAAAGTCATATATGCATCAGACGGTGGGTGGGGTTGGATTGTAAATGATTACAGTATATACAGCGAATCGCCTGAAAGTCATGTATGCATCAGACGGTGGGTGGGTTGGATTGTAAATGACTACAGTATATGCAGCGAAGCACCTGAAAGTCATATATGCATCAGACGGTGGGTGTGGTTGGATTGTAAATGACTACAGTATGTACAGCGAACCACCTGAAAGTCATATATGCATCAAACGGTGGGTGGGGTTGGATTGTAAATGACTACAGTATATACAGCGAATCACCTGAAAGTCATATATGCATCAAACGGTGGGTGGGG